CACTCATCCTTCCCCCCAACTTTCTCTTCCTTCCACTCATCCTTCCCCTCTTGCTTCCTTCCATCCTTCCCATCTTCCTTCCCCTCTTTCATCCACTCATCCTTCCCCTCAATCCTTCCACCCATCCATCCATCCTTCCACTCTTCCTTCCCCCCAACTTTCTCTTCTTTCTTCTCTTCCTTCCATTTATCCTTCCACTCATCCATCCACTCAATCCTTCCATCCATCCTTCCCCCCAACTTTCTCTTCCTTCCACCCATCCTTCCCCTCATCCTTCCACTCATCCTTCCCCCCAACTTTGTCCTCTTTCTTCTCTTCCTTCCACTCATCCATCCACTCAATCTTTCCTTCCATCCATCCCCTCATCCTTCCCCCCAACTTTCTCTTCCTTCCCCTCAATCCTTCCACCCATCCATCCACCCAAGAGGAGGGAAGGAAGGATTCCTCTTCCCCCCCATTTCCTGACCCCCCCCTTTGGTGTGTGTCCTCACCTCTGTCTGTCCGTCCCCCGGTGCCTCAGTTTCCCCTCAGGTCATGCTTCCAGGTCCAGGCGTCTCCCTCCTTCCTGGTTGAGGGGGAAGGAGGGGAAGGAGGAGGAGGCGGGAGGGTAAGTCGAGTCACGCGAGTCCCCCTGCAACAGAAATCAGAGGGGAAATGAAACCAGTGTCAAGTTGGAATGAATGATTTCACATTGGAATGAATGATATCAAATTGGAAGGAATATCAAATTGGAATGAATGATATCATATTGGAATGAATGATTTCAGATTGGAATGAATGATATCAAATTGGAATGATTTCAGATTGGAATGAATGTCAAATTGGAATGAATGATATCAAATTGGAATGAATGATATCAAGCTGGAATGAATGAATTCAGATTGGAATGAATGATATCAAATTGGAAGGAATGATATCAAATTGGAATGAATGATATCAAATTGGAATGAATGATATCAAATTGCAATGAATGATATCAAATAGGAATGAATGATATCATATTGGAATGAATGATTTCACATTGGAATGAATGATTTCAGATTGGAATGAATGATATCAGGTTGGAATGAATGATGTCAAATTGGAATGAATGATATCAAGTTGGAATTAATGATATCAGGTTGACATCACGTTGGAATGAATGATATCAAACTGGAATGAATGATATCAAGCTGGAATGAATGATTTCAGATGGGAATGAATGATATCAGGTTGATATCAAACTGGGATTAATTTATATCAAACTGACATCCAATTGGAATTAATGACGTCAGAGTCATCTCAGGTGGGAATGAATGATACCAAACGGATCCCAGATGGGAATGAATGATACCAAGGTGGTATCATTCATTCCCTGTGAGCGATGAACTCTGATTAATGATCCCACCCCCCCCTCCAGATCCCCTTTCCAGAATACAAGTCCTCACTTTCCAGCCCAGCCCTTCCTAGGCCCCAACCCATCCCCCCCAGATCTCCCTTCCAGAATACAAGTCCCCACTTTCCAGCCCAGCCCTTCTTAGGCCCTCACCCCCACCCCACCCCCCTTCCAGAATACAAGTCCCCCACTTCCCAGCTCAGGATCATTCCCAACTCCCCCTCCGCCTCCCATCCCTTCCCTAACCCTCAGGTCTCCCTTACAGAATACAAGTCCCCCCACTGTCTGCACCCCAGGCTCATCCCCAGCTCCCCCTCTTCTTCCCTCTGCACCCCATGCCCTCCCTAGGGTCTAACCCACCTCCATAGATCCCCCTTCCAGAATATAAGTACCCCTCCCATCCCAGCCCTTCCTAGGTGGTAACCCATCCCCTCCCAGACCCCCCTTCCAGAATACAAGTCCTCCCCCTTCCCCAGCCCAGGATCATCTCTAGCTCCTCCCTCCCCAACCCATCCCAAGGCCCTAACCCAACACCACCCCCCCAGGATCCCCTTTCCAAAATACAAGTCTATCCTCTCCCCACCCCAGCCTTTCCTTGGCTCACCCTCCCCCATCCCCCTTTCCCAATAAAAGTACCCACCCCCAGCCCAGCATCATTCCCAGGTCTCCCTCCCCATTCCATTCCTTCCCTATTCCCCTCAGGTCCCCCTTCCAGAATACAAGTCCTCCCCCCCTCTTCCATTCCTGCCTTTTCTCAGCCCTCACCCACAATTCCCCCTATCAAAATACAAGTCCCTCCCCCAGCCCACCATCATCCCCAGCTCCTCCCTCCTCCTTCCCCTTCCCATACCCTCCCTAGGTCCTAACCCAGCCCCCTCCGCAGATCCCCCTGTCAGAATACAAGTCCCTCCTTCACATTGCAGCCCATGCTAGGCACTATCCCCCCCACAGATCCCCCTTCTAGAATACAAGTCCCCCTTCCCCAGCCCAGCATCATTCCCAGCTCCTCCCTTCTCCTTCCCCATCCGCTCTCCTCCCTAGGCCCTCACCCCCTGCAGATCCCCCTTCTAGAATACAAGTTCCCCCCTTCCCACCGCAGCCCTTCCTAGGCCTTCACTCCCCTTCCTGATCCCCCTTCTGGAATAGCAGTCCCCCATGTCCTCCTCCTTCACTCAGATCCCCCTTTCCAAATACAAGACCCCACTATGTCCCTCTAACGGCCTCCCCCACCCCCCCATCCCCGTTTCCAAATACAAGTCTCTCCATGTGCCTCCAAAGGCCTCCCCCTCCCCCCAGATCCCCCTTCTAGAACACAAGTCCCCCATCCCCACCTCAGCCATTTCTATGCCGTCAACCTACACCCAGATCCCCGTTTCCAAATACAAGTCTCCCCCATGTCCCCCCAATGCACCCCACACCCCAGATCCCCCTTCCAGAATACAAGTCCACCTTCCCAACCCCTTCATCTCACCCCCCCCGAAGCTCCTTTCCAAGTACAAGTCTCCCCCCGTGTTTCCCCACGGCCTTCCCCTCCCCCCCCAGATCCCCGTTTCCAAATACAAGTCCCCCTCATGTCCCTCCAATGGACCCCACACCCCAGATCCCCCTTCCAGAACACAAGTCCCTCCTCCCCACCTCAGCCATTTCTAGGCCGTCAACCTGTCCCCCGATCCCTGTTTCCAAATACAAGTCCCCCCCATGTTCCTCTCACAGCGATCCCCTCCCCCCCAGATGCTCCTTCCAGAACACAAGTCCCCCCCATGTTTCCCCACGGCCTCCCCCTCCCCCCCGATCCCCCTTTCCTAATACAAGTCCCCCCCGTGTCCCCCTCACAGCGATCCCCTCCCCCCAGATCCCCCTTCCAGAATACAAGTCCCCCCCATGTTCTCCCAACGGCCTTGTCTTTCCCTCAGATCACCCCTCCAGAACAGAAGTCCCCCCTCCCCTCCCTCAGCCATTTCTAGGCCGTCAACCTACCCCCCCAGATCCCCCTTTCCAAATACAAGTCCCCCCTGTCCCCGTCACAGCGATCCCCTCCCCCTAGATCCCCCTTCCAGAATTCAAGTCCCCCCCGTGTTTCCCCACGGCCT